TCGTGGCTCACTGGTGAGGTTCCAGATGACTGGAAGCTGGCCAATGTGACACCCATTCACAAAAAGGGTGGTAAGGAGGATCCTGGTAATTACAGGCCAGTTAGCCTGACCTCAGTACCCGGTAAGGTAATGGAGCAGTTTATATTGAGTGTCATCATGTAGCACTTACAGGATGGCCAGGGTATCAGACACAGCCAGCAGGGGTTTTGGAGGGGTAGGTCATGTTTGACCAACCTGGTCTCCTTTTACGACCAGGTGACCTACCTGGTGGATGGAGGAAAGGCTGTGGATGTTGTCTATTTGGACTTCAGCAAGGCCTTTGACATGGTCTCCCACAGCATACTCCTGGAAAAGCTGGTAGCCCACAGCTTGGACAGGAGCACTCTTTGCTGGGTTAAGAACTGTCTGGATGGCCAGGCTCAGAGAGTGGTGGTGAACAGTGCTGCATCCAGTTGGCCGCCAGACACTAGTGGTATCCCTCAGGGATCTGTGCTGGGGCCAGTTCTGTTCAATATTTTTATTGATGACCTGGATGACGGTATTGAGTCTTTCATTAGTAAATTTGCAGATGACACTAAGCTGGGAGCGTGTGTCAATCTGTTGGAAGGTAGGACAGCTCTGCAGAGAGACCTGGAATGGTTGGATGGATGGATGGAATCCAATAAGATGATGTTTAATAAGTCCAAGTGCTGAGTCCTGCATTTTGGCCACAATAACCCCCTGCAATGTTATAGGCTGGAAACTGTGTGGCTGGACAGTGCTCAAGCCAAAAGGGACCTGGGGGTACTGGTTGACAGCCAACTGAACATGAGCCAGCAGTGTGCCCTGGTGGCTGAGAAGGCTAACGGCATCCTGGTCTCTATCAGAAATAGTGTGGCCAGCAGGACCAGGGAGGTCATTCTTCCCCTGTACTTGGCACTGGTGAGGCCGCACCTTGAGTACTGTGTCCAGTTCTGGGCCCCTCAGTTTAGGAAGGATGTTGAGATGCTTGAGCTTTTCCAGAGGAGGGCAACAAGGCTGGTGAAGGGCTTGGAACACAAGCCCTATGAGGAACGACTGAGGGAGCTGGGGTTGTTTAGCCTGAAGAAAAGGAGACTCAGAGGTGACTTTATCACTCTCTACAACTTCCTGTGGTTGTCATCAGGTGGGGATTGGTCTCTTTCTCCAGACAGCAACTGACAGAATGAGAGGACAGAGTCTCAAGCTGCGCCAAGGGAAATTTGGGTTGGATATTAGGAAAAAGTTTTTTACAGAAAGGGTGATAAAGAATGGTCTGCCCAGGGAGGTGGTGGAGTCACCATGTCTGGAAGTGTTTAAAAAAAGACTGTTTGTGGCACTCGGTGCCATGGTTTAGTTGAGATGTTAGGGCATGGGTTGGACTTGATGATCTTGAAGGTCTTTTCCGACGTAGTGATTCTGTGTGTGATTCTGTGTATGATATACTAGTAAAGAACTGTGTTCTTTTTCCCATATCTTTGTCTGAAAGCCCCATGATTTCAAAGTTATAATAATTTGGAGGGGAGGGGAAAGGGTCACATTTTCCATTCCAAGCTTGGTTCCCACCTTCCTTGGCAGACACCTGTCCTTTAAACTAGGACATCATCCCAAGATCAATTTATCAGTTTCACAGCTCTCCCACCCTCTCCCCCCAAGACAACAGATGTAGCGAGCCTACTAGATAGCCATACCCAGATTTAGCATCACTGAACTACCTCCTGTCCACAAGTTCCACAAGTCATTCAAGAGTACAGAAGAGTATTTTTTTTTTCATCCAAAGACCAATACAGTATTACTCAGTTCCCCCTAATATATTTCTAAGGGACTTGATATTATAGTTTTATACCCACTAGTTTAAGAGGTATTGGTATTAGTTCAGTGCCAGTGGCTCAACAGCAAAGGGCATATACTGGCTACATCGATGATGACAACTACCTGCAGTAGCAAATTTTGATGCAGTTACTGACATGACAAGGTCTCACAAGCTTTTCTCATTTAACACCAGCTCCTTCAGGGCCAGGTTAGCACAGGAAGGCATTTAAAAGCTACTCACTATCAGTTTACTGGCTATAGTAGTGGCCTGGTTGAAAGGACAACATTCTGAACAGACTAAATTTACTTAAAGCTTTAATATCTTAGTAAGAATGAACAACCTCAAATGCTCTTTAAATAACCAAAAAATGTTCAGAAAACACAGCCTACAAGTGCAGGATATAACCCGTGACTCACAAGAAGTTATAAGATACCCTTGCCAGGATAATGGCACATAACTGGAGTGCTCTTGCCATGGGACTGCTAGGTCATATAAATTCCTGTCTCTAAAGAGCAACAAACCAGCAAGGCTTGCTAGGCTTCTACTAAGCTTTTCTGGGACTTGCTACCTGTTGCACCACATCCTATCCTATAGCAGGCTCCAGTGAGATCCTGGAGACCTGTTGTCTTAACTGCATAACAGTTTTCCATTCCCTTAGTTCTAAGACTCCAAGAGATGTGATACACAATTTATCAGCAAGGTGACTTTGAAAAACAAATCACTGGCAGAAGTACTGAGCACTACTCATTATACATTCTTTGCTATTCGAGCAGAGCTATCAGGGTTTTTTTGTGTGTGTGCATGTGTATGACTATATACATGGACCAAAACTGACCAATTTTTTTTTATATTAAAAAGGGGGTATTTATATAAAAATATATGGCTTTGGGCAATTTTGCTTCCTTGCACTTTTATTTTTTTAACAGCTCTCACTACAGCTGTAAAAAAGTCAAATTGCACTGCAATATGCGTATTCTACATAGTTGCATCCTATTATGCAGGGTACTTCAGTCTAATTGGACATATTATACTTGAACCTCATCATAGCAGGAAAATAGAAACATAGCACAATGAAGCCAGCAATATGACATTAGTTGCCTTTAGCTCTTCCACACTACTTTAACTGGGTGGAAGTATGTATATTAGGATACTCAGGTAATCATTTAATGGTTATAATGAAAAAGACATGATGTAGGGTTATTGAGATAGTCACCTCTCCAGTGGATGAGTTGCAGGGCAGAAAAAACAAATTTAAAAAAAAGAAAAAAGGGAAGAAAAAAAGCAGAACTATCTGTCACAAATGAAATGAAAACAAACATCAGTTTGAACTGCCAAGGAAAATCATGTATCCAAAATGAGAAAATATAGTTCAATTAGACTTCTTTTATCATAACCAGCATTTGGAGATTAGATTTTCAACATTTACTTTAAAGCTATTGATTTTATGCTACTATGAGTTTATGGTAAGAGAGACCTACTTCTCAAAGACCTGGAAGCCATCTGTGTACCATGCTGTAACCTGTTTACCCTACAGCTGGAAAAGAATTCCCACTCAGAACTCTGCAGAAAACAACAACTGAAAATTGATTTCTTCAACCCACAATTGTGAGAACACATAAAATATGGTTATATAAACACTTGTTACCCTCAAACAAGATTCTGCAAGTATACCATAGCATGGGTGTATCAGTTCTTAGCATTTGCCTCTTAAAAATGCTATTCAGATTTAGTCAGGGTAACATTTAGATCTATAACCACCTGTTAAGGGTCAGGCCTTTTTTTTATTTTCTTTCTCTCAGGAAATTTTCTTCCCATTTGTTGCCCCAGAGATGATGAATGAATGGTATTTAAGAGACAAAAGACCTAGCTGGACATCTTGGAATAACGTTGAAATGGTCCTGGGGGAGGAGGGAGGAAGGGGTGCAGTTGTTGTAGTCTCTTAGCTGGGGAGTGACCTTTGACTGGGGGGTTTCTCTTGGGAAGTGCAGAGATACTGCAAGAGGTCGGGGGGGGGGTGCTAACCGAAACTTGGCTGGGGGTCAGAGGCTGGGCTCAGCCCCTGGTCTCTCGGCTATTGGAGAGGAGAGGATGTGGTGTGGGGAGTGGGCCCCTCTCTTTCCCTAGATGGGGCTGCGTTGTGATTTGCTGCTGGAGTCTGGGGTTTTTTTTTTGCTGTTTGCAATGGCTGCTGACATCGACTGCTGCCCGATCAGACCTGCCTGCCCCCCGCTGCTCCAGGATTTTTGCTACACTTGAGCTCGACCTTCCCCCCACATCTGCCCAGCCCCCACTGTTTCTGCCACCTTGACAGGCTTATTACTATACTTTGATTTGCTGCCCCAGGTCTGCTTGCCTCTGCTATTCCAGCCCACTGCTCCGAGGCTAGTGCTCCAGTTCAGCTCACCACCCAGAGGGGTACTGAGACTGGCTGCTCCCCATGAGTTTTGCAAGGGGAGCCATCTCCCATCTACCCCCTTGCCCAAGCTGCCATTGCCATGAGGAGAGACTTCTGCACTTGAGCCACAGCACCCCCTGCAGCTGCGGGGGAATCATTGCACCTGTCTTGCCTCACCAGGACCTGGTAGCTCTCTCTGCTGGCTGCAAGAAAGTCACTGAAACCGTCAGCTCGCCAGGGCCCACCAGTGCTCCTGCTGGTTGTGGTCGTAACTACACCAAAGAGGGAATTGCTTGATGGGCAAGGGAAGGCTGTTATTTGGTTTCTGGTTTTGTTTGTTGTTGCTGCTGTTGTTTGTTTAGCTTGTTAAATATATTCTAGTAAAGAAATGTTATTCCTTTTCACATATCCTTGCCTGAAAGTGGTGTAATTTTAAAGTTATAATAATTTGGAGGGAAAGGAGTCATATTTTCCATTCCAGGAAGGTTCCCGCCTTCCTTGGCAAACACCTGTCTTTTAAACCAGTACTCCACAACAAAAACACTGTACTTTTTTGAGTCAGATATGCTAAAATAAATGCTATTAGGTTTTTTTAAAAGTAGAAGCTTTTTGCACAGCCTATCATATTTTAATTTTTCTATACATTCTAACAGATTTTCTGCAACTACTGCCTGGCATACAAAATGACACTACAGGACTGTCAAGACTAACATTTGAACATATGTGTAAACTGTGACTACTTGCAGTTTACAGCACCAAGGGGAAGAGAGCAGAAAGGCAGAACACATCACTTACCTGGGCTTCTCTGACAAGCTGAGAAGAATCAGGCAGGCTGAAACCAATGGGTAATCCAACCTTTGCTGGGGTTTTGAATTTGTCTCCTATCTTAAATGGGACATCATCAAGATAACTGAAAGGACCTAAGATCAAAAGTAGAAATTGTATAAAAAAAACCTTACAAGCTTAATGCATTCAATTAAGACTCACATTTCTGTATTTGGAAGCTATTTATCTCTGATGCCCAAACTATACCAGGTGACTCAATGCAAAGGAAGTTGCTTGATCAGAAGCACATTGAATCTGTTTGGACTTCATTGCCTCAGTTTTGGTTTTTTGGTGGTGTTTTGGTTTGGGTTTTTTTAATGTTTTAGCTCATAACTACTAAAAAAAACCCCAAACACACAACAACTGAATAGATTTTGAAGTCAATACACCCAGTGTTTTAGCTTTCCTTGTGACAAGACTATCCCTACACAATTGGAAGGTGAAGCTCTCTCCTGAACACTGTCTTCTGTTATGTCTCTAAAAAGATCCATCTTTTTTATCATATTCAAAACAGGTTTTAAAACAGCCCAGGTTTAGAGCAGCTAAGCTAAAGTAAAATCCAAGTATTGGCATACAAGTGGGAAGTCACATTTATACACAAGTGGCCTAAAGTCTAGACACCCCACTTGAACCAAAACAGTGAAATAGCTCAAGATTATTTAGCATAGCAAGTCTGATTTTTGAAACAAGGCACTATATCTTAATTAGCTGTCTGATTTGTGATCACTCCAATGAGAAGCCTCAGACTTATTTCGTGGTCCTCCATCTGTTCTTTATATTTGTCAGTCAGGTGGTATTTAAAAAGTATTTTAGGATTAAACTCTTTCTTCAGGCATCCTGCAAACTCATAAGGCAGAATTACTTAAAGCTCAACCACCTCCAAGCAGCCAGACTACAGGTTTGCTTTCCTTGAGCTGCCGTGAAGAAGTATTAGAAAACACACAATATAAATTGCGCTCACTTTCTTGGATCTCTGGTCTAAGTTTTTGGAATTACAAGTAAGGTTTCCAGCTGTGTACAACAATCTGAAGCATTCCTCTAACGCACATTTGTAACTTTGCTTTGAGTGATGCAGATCCAAAGAGACGTGAGTGGCATCACTAAGATGGTGTTCAGTGACTAACCTCTTGTTCAGTGAGCTGTGACTCACCATTTTTATCTTACTGTAGCAAAGCATCTCACTCCCCACATGAGCTTATCTATTGTTTGTTAACCAGTCAGATAACTCAAACAAGACAAGCTGTCTTGTAGTGAGTTATTTTGGCACCATGGGGTTAACACTGGTCTGGCATCTCCCAACTGCCAATAAGCATCTTAATTTGAAGTGAGATTTGACAAGATAAGTTGAATTTCTGACTGACAGACACTCACAACTGTAAAAGCCACACCAAACTTCAACAAAGCAGAAATGTTCTATACATTTTCCTGGAAATGCGTGGAGTTTCTCCCATGAGTGGGGACACCTATTTCATGGTTACTTTCCAAGGGATTAAGTGAAGGAATCTGTGTACATTATTGTCATTTCAGTGGTAAGTTATGTTCAACTCCTAATCGATACTATTTATTTTGCTAGCTTTAATATAGGTACTTTGATATAGTGCACTATTTTATGTTATACTATAATCTACTAGTAGTTCTTTTAGTTTTGTACTGTGTAGTAATTCTGATTAAGATCTTTCATCAGTTATCTTTTGTCTGTTCATTTGTCTTAATAAATAATTAATTTTTATACAAATATATCTGATTTGCCATCATCAGAACTAGCAGGAAAAAGTTGCAAAACCCAAACTGTTGATAGTCTGAGGCTAAGATGCCATACTCAGGCTCCTCTCTCTGAGGAGTTTTGACAGCAAGGGGGGTCTTCTTGGCACGTCATGACTCAGTGGCAGGGCTTCTTTAATAAACTTTGTCTGAAGCTTCCACTCCACTCATGACACTGACCCATTTTCATACTCAGATGACAGTTAAGGTACTGTTTGTGTTCCTTCACTATTGACAAGGCAGTCACAGGCTCCAAAAGGACAAGAAGCTGCTAAAATGAGGAACATCCCATTAATTTGGAATTCATAGAATCATAGAATAATTCCCTGAGTTGGAAGGAATCCACAAGGATCATCAAAGTCCAACTTCTGGTCTGGCACAGGACAGCCCTAAGAATCCCACCATGTGCCTGAGAGTATTGTCCAAACACTTCTTGAAGTCTGTCAGGCTTGGTGCTATGACCACTTCCCTAGGGAGCCTGTTCCAATGCCCAACCACCATGTGAGGGAAGAACCTTTTTCTAATATCCAACCTAAACCTTCCCCGACACAACTTCAGGCCATTCCCTCAGGTCCTGTCACTGGGCACCAGAGAGAAGAGATCACTGTCTGCCCTTCTTCTTCCCCTCACAAGGAAGTTGTAGACTGCAATGAGGTCTCCCCTCAGTCTCCTCCAGGCTGAACAGACCAAGTGATCTTGGCCACTCCTTAGTTTCCCCTCAAGGGCCTTCACCATCTTCACAGCTCTCCTTTGGATGCTCTCTGTAGAAGGACTTGTGGTCTGCCACAGAAGAGCTTATCTGTTCTGCCTATCAGCTGGTACATAACTCAGGGCATTTTCCCCCCTCACATGAATTGGTGAAACAACCTAGGCCAGACATCTGTCTGGTAGCAAGCTATCTCTGGAGTTATCCAGGGAGGTGAGATCCTGACCTAACAATAAACATCTCACCTTGAGAGCAAGATTGTCTTAGGTTACAATGTAAGATCTAACCAAAAGTATGTATTCTATCACCATCTTCATAAGCTGTTAAAAACAGGTGGGCCAGTGTTCTTTATTTCTTCCATGACTTATCCCTGATAACATCCTCTAGGATATTATGGCCTAAGATGGAATGTATGCCTTATAAGAGGAGGAAGGGTTTGGCTATAGAGAGCCAGTCCCTGATATGAATGCAAGCAGGTAGCTATTGGTCAACAGCTGGGTGGTAACCAATCAGACTTGAATGCGGAGTCTTTTGAATAGCCTATAAAAAGGGCTGTGTACACCAATAACATCTCTCTGCTGCATGAAAACCCTGATGTTTGTCATCTCTCCATCCCCATACACCGCGACAATTGGTGACCCCATGTGAGGAAAGGAACTAAACCATGAGAAAAGGAATGAGAGGAAACAGCAGAGACCCACAGACGAGAGCTGTGAGAAAATGCGACCAGAGCTAGCCACAGCCAGAGCTGTGAGAAAAGGACAGCTAAAGAGCTGTGTGAAACAAGACAGAAAAGCCGGTAAAGCTAGAAATCCAGATGGTGTAAGAGCCAAAGAAACAAAAAAGTTGAAAAATAGAAGGAAAACCCCACCGAAGAAACAGGCGGCTTTATCTCTGTAAAAGAACAACCAGTCATTAAGGTATGAACTTTTCTCTTACTTCAACGAGAAGTAAAATATGAACAATAAGCTCTGAACGCCACAATGGACATTTTAAAACTCTTAATGTTTATCTCAAACTGGCGGGGGCACTTAGAAGCTGAATGGGACGCAGAAACAGCAAAAGAGATGCTGCCCATACCACAGCTGAAAAAGCCATCTTTAGGCTCCACGACCCGTACCACCAGTAATGCACCATGGACACAGACCACAGAAAAACCCCAACATGGCAGACGCCATGCACTTTGGACGCAGATCACCCAAGATGGCGGTCAGCACATGGCACGTGAGTCACTCACCCAAGATGGCCGTTGCCACATGACGCAGGAGCTGCCAGCTGAATCATATCAAAATAGCAGAGCATAGACAGCATCCCGTGGGAAAAGAGATACCGCGCTGAACACATGGAGGCAGCAGCCAGGATCACCTCTCTCATGGCATCCAGGAATCCATCCCATGCATCCACCAGACCCCAGAAGCATCATCAGAGCGCCAGAAGAGAAGCCAGAAACCCCACCACCTGAAAACCCTGTCGCCTGGCAACTACAGCTCTGGCCGTGTTGTGAAAAATGTGTATTTTATGATTGGCTTTTCGCAAATATTAAAATGAATATTATATGTGTTTTGTTAGAAAGTTATGTTGTATTAATTTTCTTAAGTAGTGTGTTAAATATAGTTTTAGGTTATAACAATGTTAAAATAGAAACTATGCTATGTAAGATACTTCTTTTAAAGAGAGGACTGCACTGAGATAGCAGCCACAGGACACCTGAATCTTTCAGAGAAAAAGAATTTATTGCTCTCTTATCGAGTTCTTCCCGCCTCGCTCATCCCTGAAGATGCCCTCAGGATTAAGAGGAAGAAGTTGACACTGACCAGACAGAATTCTTTGTTTGAATGGAATTTATGTATCATGTATGAGACGTATGAATATGCAACAGGCTATTGCTTTTAAGGGTTAATCCTCTGTTAATGTGTGTCCTTTTTTGGGTTTATTTTGCCCAGAAAGAGGTACCCGGACTGTCCGTAGCTCTTTGTTTTTATTGTCTCGTATTGTCCTAAATCCTAATTGTCCAAATTTTTATTACTTTAATTATATTACTATTTGTATAACCATTTTATTACTATTAAACGTTTGAAATTCTAAAAACAAGTGATTGGCGTTTTTCACAGTGTGGATGCCTTCTGCACCATCAGTGGACAACCGTGAGTTCACCAGGACTAGGGGAGGAGGGCCAGAGGGCGGCCCCTGGTCCCCCATTGCAGGAGGACCCCTCCTAACATTGTTTCCCCTTCCACCTGCCCTCTGCTAAAGTGGAGCAGCGGTGACAGAGGCGGCGGGGGGAGGGACCATACAAAGCCACGGGAAGCTGCAAAGCAGAGCGAGATGGCAGCAAAAGATGGAACCTGCGGAACCGCTGCGGCAAGAGCCCAGTACCAAGCGCATGGCTGTGACCACATGGCCACGCTGCAGGACAATGGCGAGCGGCAAGCCACTTTCTCAGCAGGTCCAGAGGCACCAGCAGCCCCAGAAACAGCACCCCCAGCAGTGACCTGAAAACCCCAGAGCCAAACACAATGCCCTGAACCAACCCTGACTGCATCAAAAGTTGCCACCCACCCTGGGGGGATGGGGGTCTCCCAAGCGCCCTTCTCCTACCCTAGGAACAGGGATCAGGGCATGGGAAAA